TCCTTCCTTCCTTCCTTCCTTCCCCTAGTCTCTCTCTGTCTCTCTAGTTCACAAATGAAGTACACAAAACAAATGATGCGACAAAATAAATGTGTTGTCTTGCAAAAATGTTTGTTTTGCCTATGCCATTCCACACATAGAAAATAGACAGGCAGGTAGACATGCAAGAGGTGAAGAAAGAAAGAAAGAAAGAAAGAAAGAAAGAAAGAAAGAAAGAAAGAAAGAAAGAAAGAAAGAAAGAAAGAAAGAAAGAAAGAAAGAAAGATGCATACTTTTTCTTCTTGGTATTTCTGGAGCCTCTGTCTGGTATTACTCTGGTATTTACCACTCCTTATCCTGGTTCTAGTCTATCCCAAGACTGGGCTGCTTGATAAGCACCTCATATTTCTCCTCATATCTGACCAGACATTGATAGCCTGGCCCTCCTTCTTTATGCTGGAAAAAAAAGTGAGACTTACATGGGTCTATTCTCTTAGGCCAGAGAAATCTTCTTCTGGTTTTGTTGATTCCGTCCCTTCATATTCCTTCTTGGGAAGCAGAGGATCTCCTTCTGGCAGAGACTCGGGATTACCCGTTCTAAAGCCGGCGCTCTTTTGCACGCCTAGACTGGAAGCTGGAATGAGGTTGCGCAATGGCAGGCCAGGGAGGGGCACAGAGGCTGGCTTTTCCTCTCTCCGCAACCCTACTCCTTTCTTTCTCCACTCTTGATCTCCAAGTTGGGACTTGATAAGGGAAGGAAGAAACCACGTCCAAATGGTCTCCCTGCCAGGAGGACTCCTGTCGCGATCCCTGTCCCTTCTCTCTCTTCTGATGCTTTGTGGCACAGTTGTCAGCTTCCACTCTTGTCTCATTCCTTTCTGCTTTGCTTCAAAAAGGAAGGAGCCAGACCAGAATAGTCTGCCTGGGAAGGGATGATAAGAAAACTCGCCAAGCCTGCAGCAAGACACCCACTGGTTCCATCCCTTGGAGAAAAAACAACACACACATCTATTTCCATAAGTAATACAGTGGTGCCTCGCTACTCAGTTACCCCGCATGACAGTTTTTTTGCTACACGTTGGCTTTTTGCGATCGCTATAGCGATTCGCAAAACAGTAATTCCTAAGGGGGAATTTCGCTGGACAATGTTTGGTCCCCGCTTCACAAACCGATTTTTGCTAGACGTCAATTTTGACAGCTCTCTCCACGCTTGCAAAATGGATGTTTTCGGGATCTAAGCTTCGCAAGACAGCGATTTAAACAGCTGATTGGCGGTTCGCAAAGCGGCTTTCCTATGGTCGATCTTCGCCAGACAATGATGTTTCTTCCCCATTGGAACTCATTAAAAAGGTTTCAATGCATTCCAATGGGGAAATGCTTTTCGCTAGACAATGATTTCGCTAAACAGCGATTTCAGTGGAACGGATTATCATCATCTAGCAAGGCACCACTGTATAGATGGGTGGCTTCAGAACTCACATTGAATTTATCAGCATTTCTGCATTTCTATACAGGATGTTGCGGGTGTTCTGTTCTCCTTCACCCTACCCTGAAATTTAAAAGCCAGTTTAACTGAAGCTACATGATATTTTGAAAGGTATGCACAAATGGTGGCAGGCATAAATAGGATCCGGGAACTTTTCACTCCAGTTTCAGGCCCAGAAATTTCAGCGTTTCTTTTGCTACGTTCCTCTGTGGGAAGAAGACTGTCCTGAGAGTTTCAGGGACTGAAGCTCACCCGTCAACAAGAGAAATTTACACCACTTCCCCTCCTCTTTTTCTTATATTTTTGTCGCTGCTCCCGAATTATCCATAAAGCTAAGAACTAAGTCAGGTGAATGAAACTTGTAATTTAAAAAGCTGAAAGGATCAATGTCTAGTTTCATAAATCAAGTAACCCACATCTATAGGATGGGATGGATGCTAACCGAGATTTTATTCCCCCACCCAAAGTGATTGTTACTCAATTAAGAATGCTTCTTTGGTCAGGTTACTATTTTTATAGGAGCCTTGTGACATTGCAGTACAGCAGTGAAAACTCTGCTCACAATCCGGGTTCAATCTCAGTTAGCTGACTTGAGGTTCACTCAGCCTTCCATCTTTCCAAGACCAGTAAATTGAGTACCCAGCTTGCTGGTAGGGGGCAATGTGTAGCCTGCCTAATTAACTTGTAAACCACTCCGAGAGTGCTTTAAGTGCTATAAGCAGATAAGCAGTCCACTATGTGCTGCCTTTTGTTTTTGCTTTTATGCAGAGATGATGAAACTCATGGCCAAGAACATTT